AGTGAAAGAGTGAGACAGAGTGAAGCAGGGAGTGAGTGACAGTGAGAGAGTCGGTTTGAACTTTTTATTGTGAGCTGCATATGCTGTTTTGAATCTCCAAGCAGAATGCCTATTCCACTAACATGTACCGTATAAAAACAAGCACTAAGCTGACTCCGGGATGCTTAGCTTCTGACCTCTTGGAGGCTTCCCATTCAGCTGTGGTCTAGTCAACTCTTTAGCTGGAGCTTCAATGCTACTCTCCGCAAAACTTAACCACTCACCTGGACGCCCTTCCCCTCTTCAATTCCTTGCTGCATGTATGTGTGCCTGATCTCTCCTAGATATTGACATGTTTAATGTTGCTTGTTCCACGCAAAAACATTTAAGTGACTATAGATTCAGTCTTATCTAAATAACATACCTTTCCTTGCTGAAAGAATTAATGTTTTGAGGCTCTTCTTCCTAAAAAAAGGATAGGATAAATGCAGCTAAGGTGTATTATGTAGCTTTCACTTATGTCCCCATAGATATTTTCATTGGTTACATGTTGAAATAATGTGAAGATATTTGAATAACATCATGGAGTGGAAAGTTGCAGTGTTTTCCTATAGTGGTAGGAACAATCCAGCAATTCTTATTTTATAAATTATCCACTGTCTACTTGGGAGTATAAACAAGAAACCTTGACTAAAGGATAGCACTCACCAAGGGTAGACGACTTCTATAAAAGACCAGCTAGTAAACAGTTTGGGGCTTTGCTGTCTCCCCATAAAGCTTTACAAAATCATGCCTGCCAATCCCTGGTACAAGTTAACGCTATTTCTAAAACTCATTTAGAAACAGGAGTTTCGTCAAAACCCCCAGAATCATTTTGAATCTAGAAAAAGTACATGCTTGAAAATAAAATATCAAGCAGAAAGGTGTACCTTTTTCACTGGATGCCACTTGAATCCCAACTCTGGATGAGCCGCATGAAGAGCTGGTGAAGCTCCTCCATTTCTGATGAGGTGTCCAGGGTGATTTCTTTCTACCAAGTGAAGCAGTTCCATCTGCCGCCTTACTTTTTTTTCTTCTCTCTGCTTTTGAAGCAGTTTTGGGTACCTTTCTGATGCTGTAATATATCTTTTCAGTGGCTTATTTATATTCCAATCAGGTCTTTTATGACATTTCTTCATGTGTTTCATTTGTTTCTCTGTTCGTGTGAACTGATTACAGTGTTCACTATGCCAACTGTTTTCTTTTTCTATGTGGGCGTCTTTAACTTGATTGTTTTTCTTAGTGTTAAATGCTACATTAAATTCTGTAGGAATTTCAGGAGATGGACAATCTATAATCTTTTCAATCACTGATCCACAGTGTGATTCTGTATGGAGAATTCCTGTATTAGTATCATCTAAAAAAAAAGTTAAATAATTTCTTAGAGCACATTTCCACAAAATTGGGCTTTTTCTTAGAATACAGGAAATGCATGTGTCAGTGATCAGTGGGTGGCTACAAACAAACGCTCTCAGAACCCCACTTCTGTGGAGAAAGCCTGGCTTTCTCGTGCTCCTGTAGACAGTCCCAGTCTGGGAA